AATGACACACCAGGGGATATTTCTGTGGAGTCTCTTCACACCCTTGGTTTCTTGGTATCATTGATGGGGCAAATATAATACGGCTGCCTCTCTTCTACATGGAAAAAAGATTTTTATCTGCTTCCCCACTGTAAAACACAGAAATAAAATTTTCTCTCCAAAAGTTGTTTCAATAAGTTGCTCTAAAAACTTTCAACAAATCCTAGGATTTTCAGTTACTCTAAAGCTAAATAGACAAAGAAACTAACTGCTTCCTTCCTTTCATTGTGTGTGTAAACTTGGAGAAAAGACAGTAATCTTATTGCTAAATTGCTTAACAACTGCAGGTAGAAAAGCTAATATGCTATAATTTATATGTGAAAAGATTGCAGGGGCTTAGTAGCCATATTTAATACTATTGAGGCTTCCCACTGAGAATTGCACTGTAAACTGGCAGCTGACTCAAAACACTGCTGTTTTCAACAGTTTAAAAAATGTGTCAGCAACTGATCAAATAGGCTTCTATACCAGTCATTTATGGCAATCTTTCATATTAGTGTACTACTGACTTGCGTAAATCACTCCCAGGATGAAAACAGTCCCTGTACATGGCTCTATAATGAATTCAAGCACTGAATCAGTCTTGGTGGCTTCAGACCTATGTTGGAAGATAATTCTGAGCAGTCTCAAATAGACAAAAGATAATTTCTATGGGGCAGATTTGCTAATGTGCACAAAACTGAAGTAAATATTTTTTTCCAGGGAGCTTTGTAAGGACAAAAGGGGGAAAAAAATCTGCAACACTTTGTGTCCATTAACAGTGGAAAATTCATAGCTGCTGGGCAACTCAAGGTTTGTCTAGTGGAGATGAAGATCTCCTTGAGCAGGGTTTTCTGCAACTGAGGTACCAAAGACATGAAGATCTGTGTGGGCTTTCATAGCTTCATCACTTAGACATGACAGAATTAGGATGGTTACACTCAGAAGCTGAAGAACATGAGTGTAATGGTAAAAGAGTCAATCTTCCCCATACCTGAAACACAAAGAAGACAAACAGTTGGGAAGAAGTATGTCAAACTTTACCTGCAACCACTGTGACTGGTCATTGTGGCCAGAGGTCCAGGCATTAACTTTGCCTTGCTTGTCCAGCCGGGCTTTCCGGGGCTCCCAAGCAAACATGTCCATGTTGAGTGTTCGGAAAACACTGGAGGCAGTAATCTGATAGTCCTGTATATGTCCTGATTTCATCCCCAGGGGTTCAGAGCAACCTGGAACAGCAAAATCAGATCTGTGACACTACCTAATTATCTCTGTAAGTGCTTCAGGTTTTCCGTTAGGAAAAGAAATCTAGCAATTCTCAAAGAAAAGGCTTTAATCAAGACTATTGTTGGAGGAACTTACAAACAAACAAATGAAAAATAGCCAATTCAGGGCACTTTATTTCAACACTACCTTGGAAGAATGAAAAACAAGATAGAGAATTCAATGTATTTTATGCTGGCATAAATTTATGAAGGCAAACAAACAGAAAAGATTACTTTCGTCTCTACTTATCTTGGTTTTATTCTGCTGTCCAGAAGCTTGCTATTGTTTCCCTATTCAGTTTGATTTTATCATGCTTCTATGCCATATCACATCAACCATGTGTTTGCCTACCGAGGAAACATTTATTTTTCTTATAGCCACTGCTGAAGAAAAATGTCAACAAGCACTGAGCCTTCTACACTTCTGAATTAATTGACACTTAGCCAAAAACTCCAAAGGCCCCAACACCTACTGACAGTGGAAGACTACAGAAAAAACAAGTGTGAAGGAGGGGGAATAGTAGGAGATACTCACTTAGGAGAAATTGAGTGTTAAAGGCTTATTTGTTTAAACCAGGTGGATGTCCCACATCAATGAGTTAACTTTTACCAAAAGAGAGATCTTGGGCTTCTACACTGACTGTTGGGTGTTCACGATGGGGGCAACAACAAAAAAAAAAGACTCTGTTCCTCTGCCTTGTTATTTTACACTAGCAACACAGAAGGTACATTTGGTCTCAGAAGAGGGAAGAAGCAAGATGGCAGCAAGAGAGATGCCCTTCAGCAGCAGCACTGTAACAGTACTGGAAGACAAAGTACATGAGTACTTTGAAGTACATGAGCTGCTTGATTTTAAGATTTTAAAAAATAAGGAAAAGGGAGGCAAGTCAAGTATCTGAGAGTGAGAGGGCTGCTAAGGGTCAGGAAAGGTGGAAGTATGGCTGGGTGGAGTAATGTTTGATGGTTGTTTGAGGAAAAGGTGAAAGATGGAGATGGGAACATAAAAAGAAGCTGTTTTCTCATTTCCTTCTGTCTCAGCTGTCAGAAACCTGCATACGTGCAGTTGTTCCAAAGTTTTCACTTCACAAATTTGGTGATCCTATATAATACTTTAACATACTGTAACTCATTGAGTGAGAGTGTGCCCAGGATCTAACATACCTGGTTTTTCAGCATCGTCACTGTGTGCATAGAAACTTGACTTTGTGTACAATTGAGAAGACAGAGGTTTTCCACCTGACATGTCCCAGGTCATTGAGCTGATTCCTATCAGTTAATCACTTTCTGAGTCACCAACTGTGTTTCTTAAATCACAAATGCCAGTTGTGAAGGCTTTCCTGCTGGGACCATGACCCAGCTCAACTGGTGTCTCTTGACAGAGCCAGGGCACTGTGTGACCACTTAAAACACCTTCAAAGCTTTTAGTTTGTTTTTCACTTTGTTTGAGCTAGATATCAAAGCTCATACTCTTTTTTTCTTAAAAGCCCATTTCCTCTACAGTATGTTTACCCAGATTTAAAGACCTGATCTTTTTTTTTAGTTCCTTTGATATTATTAGCAAAGACCTTTTGGTCAGATTCTACTTTCTATTTCTCCCATAGGTTTAACACACAGAATTCAGTGGAATTATTAGGGATTCAAATCAGTAAGGCAAGACCAGGCCCTTTGGTGGGGGTCTAACAGCAGGAACAAATGCATATTTCTCAAGACAACTTTAATGTAGTGGCAACTGCGTTTAAAAGTTGACATACTGATGTTTCATACTCAGTTAAAAAATAAACAGAAAACAGAGGGTTTTGGTTTTTGTGTTTATTTTTTTTAACAAAAAACAACCTTTCAGAACTGATTCTCAGTGCACAAATGGAAATCACACAGCCTTGTCTGCAGAATGAACTACCTAGTTCAAAACAACAAAACAATTTTCCTCAGAGTAGGAGGGAGCAATTGATATCACAAATGACAGAGGCTCATATGTTGCTTTAGAGAAGAACTTTTATTATTATTCAGTTCAGAATTATCATGTCAGGATCACAAGGGCCGTCAGCATTATATTTCATCTGAGGAATCTGAAGGAGGTTCCTGAAATGAAAACATGGGTTGCCCAAACTGTTTTTCAGTGCTGGTCCAATCCATCGAATATAGTTTTATCTTTTCTGAGTATTATTATTGATTTATGAAACAACAGATGTGTCTGCTTGTGTGTCTGTGCATGCGTGCATGCATTAATGAAATTTCACACTTGCCTTCCTTCCACTGCCCCAAAGGGAGGAGGAAGACAGTTGTGAAAGGTAACAGCAGAAAATGAGAAGAACAATGAGAGGCAGAAGAGACAAAGGTGATGCACACGGGTGGCAGAACAATGTCTTAGTGCTGTGTCACAGAGGGCAAGAGCAGATCTAGTTGCTTCCCAGCTCCTATGGCACCCTGCTGCAATGGCCAAAGATAATGACTGTTTATTCTAATAGGCAAGCTATAACCTAGAGCGCAAAGGACAGCATCATCAAACTAGTACAAAACGTTGTGTCTGTAGGTAGTCTTCCCTCATAGAAGTGTATTTATAATAATGCTCATGACTCCTCAGGACATTTCCACTGTACTGTATATTCTTTACCTTTGTTTTGCAATGTCCCTGTAAAAGGATTCAATGTCCCTTCTCATTTTTATAACCTGTTAAAGTTAGAGAGAACTGATGGACACATACTTATGGTGATGCTCAGTGGAGCATTTTAGTTCAAAATGTTTGAGATGCTTTGGATATCACCATCTGTGATAAATGATATCTGATAACTCTGTTTAAACCTATCTAAGTTTGAAGTTACTTCTTATTTGTTCTAGCTCAATGAAACAAGAGCACTGAAATAATGAGGGTGAGTGTCAATTAGAATCTGAAAATGGAAAGAATCCACATGAAGGTTATTCTCTGTTGACTCTTCTGAAGGCACAGTATTTTATTCTTCAGTCTGAATCCTGCACCATGCCCCTCATCTAACTCTTCTTCCAAGCAAGCTCAAAAGTCTCAAAGGAAATATTAAATATCTAATGCAGTGGAGGCAAAACAACAGATAGATCTGCATGCAAAGAGCTACATGCATCTTGCCTTGGGACAGTAATTATGCAGTATTGGCAAAAGAAGCATAGGTCTACTATTTGATGGAAAAGGTGATTTTGTTTTGATTAATATTGTGATATTTTTATTTTCTGAAAACTAAGATATTTAAAAAATTTTCTTCCTATTAATGAACATAGGATTCCTTTCCAGATTAGACAGTGATAAAGACAACAAGGGGAGAGGAATCTAGTATTAAATGCAGATGTTACAAATTCCCCTTGTGTGTGTTTGTACCTATAGTTACTGTTAGGATTGATAAATAGTTACCAGAGAACAACATACCCAAAAGAGGAAAATTGCATGCTCAGGAGGTACTGTAAGTCTCACAAGGATAAATTCTGGAAACCTGTATCCCTCTGTGTGAATTGACAAACTCATAACACCAAGAATTTGCTGAATTTGTACACAGCCACCAACATATACGAGCATCAGCAATATATGACATGGGCCACATGCAAGAAGGGAGAGCCTGCTGTTTGCACACGTTTGAGCGTGTGAGTGAATTGCATTTGTAAGTAACTGTGTTGTGCAAAGAGTTATCTGTTTTTAAAAACAACAGCTTGATGCTACCATTAATAACAGTTTAATGAATAAAAGCATTCTAATAAACAGTAGCTGTGATCTGTTTCTCCCCCTACATCAACACCCTATAAAGGGAAGGGAATTTACAACACACAGATGTGCAAAACACAACTAAGGCAGCAACACAAAGCCATGAAAATTAATGTCTAATTTACAGATGGCCAACTGCCAAGCTTTGATTATGGTTTTCGGTAACATCTGACTGTGGGTCCTGGTAAGTAAAGCTATTTATGAGCCTACAGCAGATTATATTGAGTATTGTGCTGAAGTTTGTCTTAAGAAAGAATTCGTTTTTATGATGATCCGGTGCTGCGAGTCAGTTGCCCTCCCTCATTATTGCCTCTTCTCCAGCACTAGGACTTATTAGAGAAGCCAAACCTCTCGAAGTGTTTTCTGCCTAAGACAGACCACCTGGAATTAAGAGTGAATTAGTCTGTCATTATGTATAATTATACTGTTCTCTCAGTAAGATTGAAATTGTTCTGCTGAGCCTTAGCTGCCTGCAGTTCTAAGAAATTATGACCTTGAAACTGTTACGAGACCACTGAAATGAATTCACTTCAGTAGCTTTCACAGTTCTTTGAGCAAAACAATTCCTGGTCATTCTGGCAAGGACTTACTCTAAATTGTCGTTCCAGAAATGGAAGACATAAAAAAAAAAAAGTAATAGACTAAAGCAGCTAGACAGAATTTTCTATTTACTCTCAAACCTATCTATATTGGAAAAGGGCTACAGTGAGATTAATGCATTAACTTTTCATTTCTGAATCTGGTTTTGATGCCACTAGAGGACTGAGAATTATTTAACTCCAGCTGTTTTGATACATCATTTGTGAACTGGATGACTATTGTTTGTACAGTAAGCAGGCAGCCACATAAAAATCATTCTTAAATGAATTCAGTGTAGTGCTCCCACTGGTAAAAGGTTGATCTCTTGAAAAAGATAAAAAATTTACATGCTTTACTGAATTTGTAAGAGAACATGGTTCTTGCAGAGAGTGGCTAGAGGTCAGGCTTTACATTTATGAGCTATAACTTCTGCTACTACAAACCTTGAGAGGGTTTATATTGGCTCCACTTGTTCATTTACTTTTTGCTGCAAGACACAATCCCTTCTTCTGCGAGAAATCCGCAAAGCAAATCTAAACCAAAATCTTGACTGAAGCAGACCAGCAAAATGTATATTCCTGCACTCTGAATGGTCCTCGACGGCAGCTGAAGCACCCTTGCCTGTCTGAGGATGTCACACAGCACATTGGCATGGTCACCCGTCAGCCAGGAGAAATTACTCAAATTAGCTTTGATGCCTGCTTATGCAGTGACTCTGCTGTACAGCAACTGTACAAGCAGCTTCGGCGCTCAGAAACCGTTTTCAGCCCTTGGTTTATTTAGGCTGTGATGAGTGTAACTGTGAGTTAGAGACTCTCTGTTTCATGGTCTGCTTAGTACGTAGCATAACAGGTTCTGATGGCTGTTGATACTTATTAAAACTGCTATAAATTACCTTTTCTAGGTCACAAGTAATTGGAGGCCAATGTGCACAAAAAGATTTTACAAAGTGTTATTAGGTTGCTACCACATTATCCTACTACTATTACTGCCCAACTGCAAGCAGCTATTGTCACATCATTTAGATGTGTTGCTGCTTATATAATTTACATAAAAAGAGAAAAGTAACTGTCTGGAGAAACTCAGGCCTGCCAGCTGCATTTGACCAGGAATAAATTGCATGTGCTTTAGACCTTCTGCACAAAATTGTGCTGCTTGATGGTTGACTTCTGACATGCAGCGATGGCAGAAAACCCACCTGACAGTTCACAGCCAAGAAGTTCCATTCTCAGTGTGCAGTGTCTTCTGCACACCTGAGGATACAGCCGTACGTACTGTGATTTAATTGGAGGGGTGAAGGAGTTAGCATACGGGGTGTTGTTGTCCACGTTTCCACGAAACACCTGGGATAAAATGACATGTGTTAAAAATGTGCCAGGAGGACTACTGGAGGTTCAGTACTTTTCCATAGGTAAAAAGTATCTGCATTGTTCTTCTTACGGTCACTGTACATTTTTCTACAAGCTTTTCCCAAACAGAGGCTGTTTTAATTTTTCTAGTGCCCAACATACAAGTTTTTAAGCAGAACCTACTGCCATTGCCTTGCACTGGCATGCATTTGCCACCTGTGCTGAATCAGGACCCCTATCTTGTCACTCCTAGAAAATGAAGGCACTAATGCAACTAAATTATGTCTTCTTTTCTAATTAGTGTATTAAATAGTCTCAATTCAATTTAGCCTGCAATTATTTATGCTGATTGACATTTATTTTTCTTCCTCTACTTCAAGAACTTGATCCAACTCCCACTGAAGTGCACTGTAACCCTCCCATTGATCACAGGGGGAGCTGAATTAAATCGGTAAGTATTCTCCTATTCACTCCTCACTCTAATCAGATATGCTTGTACTTTGTTTTCTTCTCTCATTATATACCTATTCCCACAGCATTAATTTACTAATAGAGAAACTATGTCTAACGCTGAAAAGTGACTTAGTTCTATCTTAACTTACGTAGTAAAGGGATTTTTGCTGCTTTGCGTACACAACTCTATAAAAAATAAGTGGTAGCTATAAACTGTAAACACATACTTCCTGCTGGGTGATACTGTTTGTGCAGTACAGAGATCAGCATTGATGAATGGGTTCTCTGCTTTTAAGGGTTAACACTAATCTGCCAATGTAATAAAACTAAATTGAAAACAGAGTAATGAGTAATTACTGGTAAACTAATTAAAATGAAAATCAGTTAAGTATAATAAACAGGATTATTCCAGCCTTGGGACACAGTATTTATACAACTATCAATTAAAGTATAAGAAATTCTTAGCAGATAGGAAGAACAATTTTTTTATTTTTTTTTTTTTTTTTTTTAGAAAAATAGTAACAAGGCAACCTCTATCATCCTGTCAGGCAATTATGCTTATTTAGTACAGGTAACTCACACTTCTGAAGGCAGCTAAATCATAAGACATATTCATATACAGATGACTTAACCTTACCATATCTTCATTTGTGCCTTTTACTTTATACATTGTCCACGCCTTCCCATCATTACTGTATGCAATTTTGTAAGATTTCACATATTCTGGACTTCCAATCCTCTTGGCACCTTGAGTTATAACTCCAGTAACTCGCATCTTCTTCTGTAGGTTTATCTGAAATAACAAAACAGTGTTATAACTAACCATCTGAGGGGCACAATTCAGATTCTAGACTCCTTTGATTCCTTTTTTTTTTAAATGACAGAAGGGTAAAATCATAGCTGTAGTATTTAAACTGCTATCTTTACACTTGCATTAATTCCTTGTATCATTCATTCATTTCATGTACATATGCACATAAATAAAGGAAAAAAATTGAACCAAAGGCCTGTACAAGGCTTATGTCTTCATGTGTATGTGTACACACACACATACATTTATTATCAATATATAGGGTATTGCTGGTGAATTACTGGTATATGGGATTACTGCTATGTATTTCCTTCCTGAATAGGAAATGCAACAGTGCAATAATTTAGCAAAGGCTGAATCTTCTGTTCTATTGGAAGCCAATTGGCAATCCCATACAAAAAAGCCCAAGTTAACGTCAGGTTAAATTTCTCTGTGAAAGTAAAAATTCATGGATGTTCTGTAAAGCAAACAAATACACCAGCAAGACCGACGTTTTCAGCCTTGTCTGTGCAATGAGGTCTATCATGAAGTAATCTGTGGCAATTGCACTCCCATCTTCTCACTGGTAGGCAGCTGAAGTCTGTTACTTTTGCACCAAATGAAGCTTAACAAAGAACTGTCATACTGTGAGAATTGCATAAAGGTGCAGGCAGATGTGTGATAAAAGGAGAAGAACGGAAATACTAGGGAGTAAACAACTGGGGCAATGTAAATAATACATTAAACTACATTAGCACTTGCCTTCTCCAAATGACTCTGCTCCCCAGTTAGTGGAGCTGACCTGGTGCAATCCCTAATATTTGGTACAGCAGGCCCACTATAAGAATATGGGGAGTCAGAGACAGATCAGGTATCTGCCATCCAAATACTTTAATCCCTTTATTCTTTCTAGTGTGGTCTCAAGATTTTCTCTCACTCAGTAATATAATCTAGCCTCTATTAAGGATGTAAGATGACCAAACTTCTGTGTTTCTATATCTGACAGTGTACAGTTGGTAAAGCGGAGAAAGACAGAATTTTACTTTCTTCTTTTTTTTTTTTCTTTTTGGTGGGAGTCTAGCTATTTCTTTGCTACTTATCTGAAATTACTGGGCTTTGGTATTTTTCTTCTTGAGGCAAAAGAAATTTCAGCATAGTTTTACCATAGTTATCCCTAGAAGAAATTAATAAACACTCATACACTTCTAGAAACACAATGGGTATTTCAGCGGTTTACACTCATTCAGAGAAGAGAAGCTGCCCATAAAAGATCAGATTTTTTACAGGAGCTTTCTCACATATACCAGGAAAACTCAGGAACTTCTACTATTGGGATGGGGACAATGGAATCACTCCACTAATTTAGACAGGTGTAAATTAGAGGAGATTCAGACTGTTTTACAGTCTTGGAAAACCTTCTTTACCACCATCCCAAGTCTCACAGAGAAAAAAAGAAAAAAAAAGACACATTAGATTTGTAAGAGGACAGCTCCAGAGACTACTATCAGCCCCTTAATTACATTTAAAAACTACATTTAAAAATGTAGTTAACTTAGAATAGCAACCAGTTAGACATAAAGTTTTCTGGAACTCTGTTATGCAGATTTCACTATCTATATGAAATTTAAGAATATTCGTAAACAGGCGAGTAAAACATTTTTTCATATAGTTAAAAAATTGTTAATAATTAAGTGAACACTATCTTTAAAAAGAAATCACAGTCAAACAGAAATGAGCAATTGATTATTTGTCTTTTGCACATACTGACTAGCAATATCTTCACATTTCACTGTGTGGGAAAAGGAAAACATGAGGCAACAACAAATACATTTTCTTTGATCCAGTTATGCATGTATGTAACATTCCTTCAGCTTCATTCCTAATTTTTCTTTTTCTGGTATATAATATTGGGATGAGAATCTCTTTTTTGAATGAGAATTTAGGTGCAATTTTCTTCCCTTGTTTACTAAGAAAGTAGTTTCTAATGAAACCATGACTTCAACTACTGGATGTTATGTTACCTCACTGGCTCCTTTCTCTGCCTCAGCCTCCACCACTAATGCACAACAAATCAACCACTGCACTTCAAGAAGCAAAACAATGGAAAGAAACCCACCCAAAAGTAATCTGTCAAAGAGTTTAATATGATAGTTGAAACCCAATCTTGAAAGAAAGAAAAGTAATACTGAATGAAGGGAAGATTTGGACAGATAATCATAAAAATGAAAGAAAAAAGCTGATTTTTAAAATACTTCAATATACATACTGTAATGGCCTCTGTTCTTTGCTTTTCAGGAGGTAAAAAGCCTGCCTTTTTCTTCTTTTTTTTCTTTTTTTTTTTTTAACTACATGCCAGTCTGCTCTATATCCTTACCTGGATGTCTGTATCTATAAGCGATATATTTATTTACTTCTCTGTTTTAACAGACAATTTTTTTTTTTTTTTTAAGGTTTTCTTGATCAGTACTCATAATCTGAGTCACAAATCAAGCTTTGGCTTTAAGCAGTATTGAGCTTGGTATAACCCAGGAAATAAAAACAGGATATTGTGTTTTGCGATAGGTCTATCTATTCTGGCAATGTTTGTAGGAAAATCCCAAAGAAGAAGGAAAAAAACCCACTTTCAAATCCCCGCAGCTTGCTTAAATACAGAATCCCCATGGGGTTAACGTCACGCCTGTAGTAGCTCTTTTCAGTGCATGTGCATACACCAGGAATTAATTGGCCCTTTGTGTCTAGGTTCTCTTATGTGTTTTAAATTCTTCAAGTCAGAGCTTAGCAAAACTCAAAATATAACTGTGCCATGACCATAACAAAGCAGGTGCTGAAATCTTTCTTATTTAATGTACTTCAGTAGGAAGCAAAGTTCTCCACATGAAATGTGAACTAATTCTTTTAGCACTAAAAGCATTTTCAAAGGTATTTTTCTCTGGCAATTGTGAAGAAAAACAGCTTAGGAAGCTCTACTTTGTGGAGGTCTAGGACAGAATGTTATATATTCTAATTACATTGGTGAATGTGTTTTAAAACAAGCAAAGAGGTGAAAGTCACCAGGTTAAGAGCAAGAGTTTAACACATCTTTTTAAAGTAGGTTAATAGCTTATTCAGTTATAAAGGACTCCTTGTCATTGTCTAGTTTAGCTGGAAAAAATCAAGGATGATAGAAGATCAATAGTATTTTGAGGGATTTACCCCAGTAATTTAAGTATTATTGCATAGTGAAGACTCTGTAAGAAGACACTTGCATAGAAATTTGAAGCAACTATTTATGTGAAAAAAACCCAGACTGATCAGTTCTACCAGCCCTACTTAAATTTAAGGTTATTTTGAGGGTAATGAATTCAGACTTGACATTTGGCCCCTGTCCATGGAACTGCGTTCAGCCCCAACTCAAAAGGGGGCTACTGCATCCACCAACTTCTATGGGGCCTAATTCACTCAGCCTATGTCAGGCATTTGGTTGTGATTGCCCTTGATCCTTATGGCATAAAGCACTTTATGATAGTTGGGTAAGGTCCTGTTTAACACCTACAGGTAGAGGAACCTGCCTCAGGCAGGTTTTGCATTTCAATGAGGAAGTTTTCTGGGGCTAGAATAAACGATGAACACTGAATCACTGAGGTGAAACTACATGTAAAAGAAAACCAATATTCTGATATCAGTTAATTTAAATCTGATGCTACAGGAAATAGATTAGGTCTACACAAGATATGGTGGATGATGCAAAGTCACCATGCTGATGTCATGAAAAACTGAGCTAAAGCACAGGCATGGCAGTCAACCCAAGTTAGTAGACAGTGCCGAGGGATGAGGTACAAGACCTCAGAGTCAGTGCTGTACACATTGTCAAAGGCTGGATTCATGTACTGTCAGTCACTTGGTGCCTTCTACACTATGTCATATAGCCAAAACTAAGTAAAAAGAAAATCCCTTGAGGCACACTCCCTCAAGTGCAGTGTACGCCCAAGAGCTGGGGAATAAAATTGACTCTATCAGTTTAAGAAGTACCCATCAGCCCTTGAAACTTCTTTTAACCTCATTCCTTTCAACCATCACAATCATCCTGACTTCATGATTAGACCACTTTTATCATCACAGCAGGTTATAGAGTCATGGCCTCTTTCAACAGGAGGGGAAAAAGTAACCAGCATGCCATGCTTTCTGCTCTCAGCACTGATTCTGTGGGAGTAATTATCTATTAAACAATCTTCACTGTTGTACTAACATTTTTGACTGAAATGACTCACATAAACCTGGTTTAGGATTCTAAGTCATACAGTTGTCTATACTGATGAAGATGTAGTCAATCAAGATGTTACGAGAACTTGAAAAAATCCATATCAGAAAGGAAATAAAACAAGTGAAAAAGAGTATTTTCCCAAGAGAAAGTGTCAATATGACCAAGGTAATTTTACAAGTTCCTGTAGATTGAATAATGCATCATTTTCAAAGGCAATTCAGAATCAGTCCTGCAAATTTGCATGGTGTGTGTGCAGCTTCACTTTTAGGTGTGAGTAAATGCAGGACCCTAACACTGGAGGGAACTGCTTCATGCTTGTTTTCCATAAACAGTCCAAAGGGGTGCACAAAACAATGACCAAAAATAACTTCCAACATGCTTGACAAACCTTAGTGTTGTAGAAAAATGACTAAATTCACAGTCATAATATGGCAATGTAACAGAACAGCAGACATTAGGGACAGCACCATTGGAAGTTCATGTTCTTCTTCAATTTATGATCAAATATTAGTGTATTCAGTGTGCAGAAGCTATGTACTTGATTAAAAAAAAAAATCAGTTGCATCTGTCTCATCTACATTATTAGATATAGAAGAGGGGTGATAAGATGGAGTGATAAGTGGAGGAAGAAGCCGTATGTGATCCTCCAGGACAGAATACATAACTATATTTCCCTCATTTGTTATTGCAATATTTGCAGTAACATTACTAACATTTTGTATAGAACAGGTTTGTCTGAAGTATACCTTAAGAGAAAGTTTCT